TTAAATGTTTTTTGTACTTAATTTACTGATAAGCATGCACTTCTGGATTATTGCTTTCAAAAATATCTTTTAATGGCATAAGATAAGCTAGGGTGAAAATTCAGATTACATCGAGTTATTTGAAACTGTAATGAAATAAATCACCTTTTCTACAAAATTTTGCAGATTTTTTCGTAGATGTTAAAGCGATATAAAAGCTTTATAATGCTAGAAATTGAGATAGACTGTTTAAATAATGTTAGAATTTCCAACAGCGCGAAGCTACAACTTCAGCCTTCCATGGCGATGCACTTATCATCTCTTCTCAAGGCACACTCGCAAGTCAAATCTATAAAATGGCATTTAGGGAAATAAATAAAAGCTGTATTTTAATTTTTTAAATATGAATTCCAAAATTTGAAAGAGTTATTTTTTTAGCAAAATTGGCTGATGAGATTCGAGAAAATTTTTTCATTACTCCAGCTGCTCTTCTGTACACAGCACGGTGTTTACTATATTCATCCTTTACCTTTTCAACGCCATGCTCTGAAATTTTTAAAAATATTTGCGTATTATTGCCTTTCTTCAATGCGTTCAGAGGTCACGCAGCTTCACTAAACTTTAAAATGGATTTGTCCATGTAGTGATTGTTTCCGTCTTTCTGAAAAGACCAATATTCGCAAACTACCTGTGAATCTCATGCCGAAACTTTCCCTTAACTGTTGAACTTTATCCCAACCCAATGCAAAAAGCGACCCATTTAAGTTTAATGTAAAGCTTTTGCATTGAAAGTAATGTAAACGTTATTCGAAAAATGCAAGATGGATGCAGCCAAACTGAGAATTGTCAGATGTACAGCTTATCCAAACCTACAGTTGTTACCAAATGAAAATGTCGGTATTCTATAATTCCTGCTCATGGGTAAAAATTTTGGATAGGAGGAAATCGATGAAAACCATGGAGCATAGGGATTTTGAAGAAGCATTGATGAAATGGAACCGCTCAAAGAAGCCGCAATATCGCAGTATCTGTACAAATGCTTCATGAATTTGCCAGATATTTTGGACTGGCTGCTAAAGAAAGAATGGATAAAAAATTTAATAACTGCATTTAATAAAAATCTTAATACATATTTTTAAGTAGATTTGTTATACGCTATTTTTATTTTTTTTTTATTTTTTTTTTTTTTTTTTGGTAAATGCAACAATGCTAATTACTTTTTCCTTTATTTATCATTTAATTTTTACGCGTTTTTGTGAAATAATCTGTTCTTCTGATCAAAATGGTATAGCGAACCAAACTTTTAGTCCCTTGAAGTTGGTTATAGCTGGTTTCGACTAACTATGATGAAAAGATAAAATCAGATAAAATCAAAATAATAAATAAATCTCGGTTAAATAGAAAATAAATATAATTAAACAGATATTTAGAGATGTACAGTTCTAGGTAAATTTAACCGATTAACATTGTGATGAATACTTTTTTATAAGTATTTTAGGCAATTAGATCATAATCCATAAGTCTAGCGGACCCAGCAGCAGCCGAGCGGTAAAGTCTTTGAACACTGATAGTTCGGTCAGAGGTTCGAATCCCGTGAATGGGCCGTCTGCATGGGTGCTTCCGTGGCTTTCCCCGTGTGTAACGTGTATACGAGCCAGTTTTCCTTAAAAAGTTCTCCACGAAGGCATCCCTCCCTTAAGGCAGATAGCCCTCGAATGCTTTTGAATAAAAAAAATTCTTGCGTAATAATGTAAGGGTAGCTTAATCTGTCTAATGTCATCAATATTATTGAGTTTCTATGGCCAAGCGCCAAATCGGTTAATAAATTAGTTTGAATGCACTAAGTCAGTGATCTCAAACTGGTGCCCTCGAAACAACTTTATGCGGTTAGCAAATAAATTTGATGTTGCAAAGATTTTAGGCATTAACATTGCATTATTCTCATTACCTTTGAAGACTACTCTGAATAACGCGTCAGAAAAATCTACAAATTGAGTTAATGTATTTACTATTTGATATAAATTTTATTCAAAGATTTGAAGATGCAGATTCGATTTACTTTTAATCATATTTGTCTCCCCCCCCCCCAAAAAAAAAAACGTTCGCTCGGTTATACGAGCTTTTGCACTAAGAATAATCCCTTTGTTTGGTAATAATTCATATATGGACAGCCTTTTTTTTAATAAGAAAAAAACTCGATGGAAGAGACATACGCAATAGATGCTGTTCTTAAGAATGCCATTCTTTTTAATTTTTAATCTGTTTAATAACAGTAAGCATGCATTCAATTCAATATATGCCAAATTAAAAACATTGAATATTTTTAAAAAATTACATCGCATATTTTTTTCCCTTTCGAATGCACAGAAGATATATAATGTTCCCATGTTAGTGTAAATGTATATTTATCTAATATCCTATAAAATGTTTCGCTCTTCCATTTGGGCCAATTTTATTGATAATCTCTACTGATAAAGCACATTAAACTTTAAAACAGCACTTTCAGGCGACTGTTAAAATTTGAACCCTTTCAGACTTTTTTAGCCCAAAAGCATTTTGCTTTGTTTCATTCATCATTCAAATCTGTTGCCTTTCGTAAAAATATAATATATTTATATTTAAAATTTAATCTGTCTGCTATTGATAAATAAACTAAGATTTTACTTAAAATGTTTAAAAATACAATAAGCTTTTATTTAAAATGGGTATGATAATTAATGCACTAAAAGGAGAAAAATAATTTATCATATATAGTTTAAAAGGAATAAATGTTGCTTTTAAAGATATTATTATTATTATTATTTTGATTTTGCACCTGATTCAGTAAAATAAAAATACATTTCCTTCATGATATATCTAATTAAAAACATTAAATATTTTTTTAGAATTGCATTATATATTTTTTCACTTTTCAAATAAATAAAAGATGCAAAAATTTCCTATGTTAGTCTAAATGCATATTCATTTATTATTTATAAAATGTTTTTCTATTCCATTTGGGTCATCGTGATGATCTATGCTGATAAACCCTATTAAACTTTAAAACAACCCTTTCGGGAGAACGTCAATTTTTTTAAAATTTCTTTCTTTCCTTTTTGTCTTTTACTACTCAGTTTGATATTGTGTCTTTGCAAATATATGAATTCTGTTAGAACAACAGCATCGACATTGACCAGCCAGACCTACCCGGTCTTCAATTTTTAGAAGCAAAGTACTTCAATCTCTTCTGTCCCCGTCAGGTACTTATCTCTTTTGAAGAATATGTTTTACGGTTGTATCACAAGTAAGGCCCTAATGGGACTCTTTCAATAACTAGCAAGAGTAGGGATCACTACCATCTGCTGCAGGCCAGTATACTGACCAAGCATCAAAGCATGAAAGAGGTGTATGAGAGATTTACCTGTTGTTCTTTGCCTTGCCGATTGAAACGAAGTCTGTTAGCGAAGCTAATACTGGTCTTTGGTCTGAATATTGTGAACTGAGGTTAGATCTTGTTTTGGTGTATTTGAATTTCTCTCGCGGTCTAGGCAAGTTTGTGGTCGCTACTCAAAGTAGATTTAAATGGTTGAATTTATAACTATTTTAAATGAAAGCTTTGAGTTTAAACCAGGTTAAACCAGGTCTACATTTATCATGTAAACCTGATAAATTTATATTTGTATATTACATGTTATCTCAACTACCTTAGAATAAATCGTCAGATTTTTCAGAATGTGCCAAATTTTGGTAATCATGTACACCACCATTGTTCAGGCAATCATGCTCATAATAATTTTTTGGTCAAGCAACTCCCCATTTTCTTTTGCACTGTTTTTGATGTGTTCCAAATTCCGACGGTTTTTATAAACAAGTAGTGATATCTTTCATCTTCAATTTAATTTTAAAATATGCACCAGACAATGGATGAAACTGAGGTAACTTTTCTACAGGAATGCAGAATTTTGCTGCAAAATTTCTAACGGGAACAACATGGATGTTTGATAAATAGCCGGTGTTGCTGAATTTTACTTCTCTTCAACTATCTGATTTTTTTAAGCCGAAAACAGATCGTTGTAGGCGGAAAAAATTTGCAGAAATAGAATAACAGGTAAAAATTACAGAAATATTTTGAGAGGAATGTAAATGTTTTACTTTCTAATGTACCACGTAATCTTTATTTAATAGTTAAAATGTATTTTTTAAATTCCTAAAGTTCTTTGTATTTTCATACGTTGATAATGTTTTCCGACTTACGATAAATATCGACATGGTAATCTTTTTTCAAAAAGGTCAGGAGAAACACTAACTTGCACCCAATAAGTAACTTTTACCTTTTCATCTGTAAAAAATCGTCAGATTACACCAAAGTGATTGCTTTAATACGTAAGTATCTTTTAATTTAATTACTCACAAAAGCTGAGGCATTGTGAGCTGAGGAAAATTGAGGCACAATAAACTTGAAATGTTTTATGTCTGTCTGTTTAATGATTAGATATTCTGGTGGTGATAATTCATCTCACAGAACACAAGTAACGCCTAGCTAAGTTACATATGTTATTTAATGATTAATTAAAATATAATACAATTATTTGAAATAAAAATCAGACTGAATTATTAGCATTTAGCTGCCAATATGTTTGAATTACAAAGTGCAACTAAGAAAAATATTTTGCAGGTACCAGTCTTTAGATTTCAGATAGGAAATATAAATTTGAATTTTTTAATTTGCTTTATTATTATTAATGAATGCTTGTATACGTTTTGATAAATATTTATTAAGGTAAATTTAAAATTTAGTTAATACATATTTTTTTTATTTTGATGATAAATAAATTTCAATAAAAAAAATCTGTCCCGTCAACTGTTTTCAGATGGTGCATTCGACCCGCATGCAATTTGAGCTTGAGAATATTGCACGAAGTATCACACTGCGAGATAAGATCACACATTTTCAGCGAAATTTACAATAAACGGAAAATCTTTTTATTTTTCCGGTTAATAAATTGCCAAAGGCAGTTATGCTTTTGACAATTTAGCCGAACGAAAGTCATTTACATTTGTAACTGTAACTGATTTTCTTATATCGTACTTATAGAATTCCAGCCTCGACACAGCATTATTAAGCTATTTTCCCCATTATAACCCGGAGATATGAAACTCAGGTAAATTATTTTAATTTATATTTCAAAAAAGTTAATATTTAAATTTCAGGTATTCTAATATTAGGAAATTTCACGAGATTACAACTTTCTACTTGATTTATTTTTGAGTACTTGCATGTAATGGCTACCGATTTATTTTTGAGCTCTAAGAAATCAGTAAATAGAATATTTCAATAACAGTAAATAGCACCAAATATAGAGTACAAGATATCCTGCGTACATATATTTATAGCGAAATTCAAATGCTTGAAAAAATAAAGCACTCAGTGTAATACTCCGGTTTATCATTATTTGGAGATATATGAGTGGCTTTGGCGATTATTGGTGACAACTTTCCTTATAAAATAATGACCAACTAGCAGCCGAGTGGGTGAAGCTGCTGAACACCGTCGAGCACTGGTTCCTCGGGCTCGAATCCCAGTGAACGGATTGGCTGTATGAGAGTTTTTGTGTTTTTTCCCGTGTGTAATACGAGTACCAGCTAATTTCCTTTATAAAGTCATCCACGTAAAGTATAACTCCTCTTAGGCAGGCAGCCAACTTGAGCTTTATCTATTCAATTAACCAGATAACTTTGTTCTTTATACCATTTGTCTCAAATTGGTGAACCGCGAGCATATTTCACAAGTTCGCATCAACGTAGCCACTTTTTGAAAAGGGGAAGGAGTTTTGAAAATGGACCAATGAGCTTCTATTGCTCTTGTGACATTAAATCTTCATGCATGTGAGCGCATGTTATTTACGTTTTAATTTACATTTGTTTCACAGTTATAAATGTATGGCGTAATAGTAGGAAATCTCGTAGTGCTTTCGTTTTATGAGTTTAATGAATCGCTGACATTTCACTTTCACAATTTTTATCACGCATTAATATTTGGATTGATGTTCACGGCATGTTATCGCTCTTTACATCGAGAAAACGACTCAAGTTACAATTAGCCTCGAGTATTAGGCATACACTAGCACATGTGGATTAAGAGAATTCAAGTGTATATAACTTTTTAACTGAGATGAGAAGGACTGGAAGTGTTACAATGACTCTAGTGTTTTCTTATTTCAGTGCTGGCGTTCTTTTGATTTTGAAAATGTAAGATTCAGAATACATATTGGGTATGATCTGATTACATCCATTGTTAATATTAAAAGGTTTATGTGAATAAATTGAATATATTCTTTGTGAATAAGATAAATTCATTCTGTTTGATGAGTATTTCTTGTGTAGACAGTACATGTAAGAGTGAGCAGTTATTAAATGTGAAATTTAACACACTAAATGGATACAAATGCAAATTAGTAAAGTTCACTTTGAATAATCTGCATTGGCTATTATTATAGAACATCTTTTTCACATAGACTACAATAAAAAGGCTTCTATTTACTAAAAGGCTAAATTTGATATAATAAAAACTACATTGGTTTCTAAACTGGGCAGTAATTACACGTTGTTTTGGAACTGACAGATATTCTGCTTGTTCCAAATATCAAATGTACTAAATTTTTTTGCAGGTGTTGTCCAGTTAGAATCCTTCCTTCTACTCACAAGCTCAGTTAACATATTAAAGAATTATGGTAGATGTTAACAATTTGGTATCCTGTCTTACGCGCTGCCAAATCGGGTAAAGTATCATCCATAAATATCTGCGAGGTAAATCTAGAGAAGATTTTTGCTTGCAGCCTTTCTGAATACACAAGAAAAAAAGAAACTGACTTTAATTCAAATTCGAGAATTGATACTTCCTTACTAAAGTGGCTGACGCATAAGCCTTCGGTGACATTTGAGATTTGCACATTTCTGGCCAAATGCCAAAAGCTCGAATGTTGCTTTAACAAAGAAGTACCGAAGATATAGCAACAAATGTCCCGGAAACATAGCAGGAATTGCATTATTATATATACGAGTACTTTTTCTGGAGGAGTGGAGTAAAGATGCATTAACACACTGGTGTTGCACATGAAAAATGCTCTGCTCGATTAAAGATGAAGGATTTTTGTGCCTCTTGTCTCCTGCTGATCTCTCTAACCTTAAGATTTTGAACTTATATTTGAGAGAAGAGTGAGTGAAGAAAAAAAGATATACTTGAAAAGAATTTTGGGAAGAATTGTTGGAGATATTGAAATAGGTGACATCTGGAGAAGAAACAATGCAGAAGTGTACATGACGTACGGGTATCCAGACATCATAAATTTTATCAACACTCAAAAATTAAGATAGGCTGATCATCTAATCCGCATATGCGAAAAAAGAACTATCAAAAAGACAACAAGCACTCAAAAAAGAGGGAGACAGAAATTCGGATGGCTAGACTTGTCTGGAGAGATACTTATCTAACTTAAAGGTCATTAATTGGGAGATTCAGTCAAAAGTAAAACAGCCTGGAATGAAATTCTAAAGGAGACCAAGACCCGTTATGCACTGTTGAGGCACGGAAGAAGAATCTGAGAGATAATTTTGATGAGTCATTTTCCTCTGGGTTAAATCTGTCTGATTTCTCTATTTCATGTTTATTTTGAGTTTTCATTGTGACTGCAACCTGCTTGAATGATTGAAAAATCCCCATAACTCAAGACATTTTTTTCTTCTACAGGCCAAAATACAAATCTATTGTAATGCGAGCGATCTAATTTAATTCATTCTGTTGCTAAGATTACCCACGTGTAATAAATAATTAAATAAATAAAAGTATCAACATATATTAAAAAGCTTATGGATGTTAACTGACTGCAGTTACATTAAGTGGTGTAAGACAAAACTTTTTGGAGTGAAGAGATTATAGACGTAACCATAACTGTTTAGGAATATTCATAGAATTTTATAAAGCACATACTATGGGAAAGCACTGATTCGCAGAATAAGTAAAGGAAAGATAAGGCTTTTATACAGTGCATCACTATTTTTACGTTAAGGAGACTATTTTTCTGTTAAGTGCCAAAAAAAACAGTTACCAAACTGTCAAATTTTTTATTATCTTAATGTTTTGCTGCAAACTTTTGAAAAATATAGAAATTTATCATCGAAAAAATTTATAACCTTCAGTTTAAAAACCATACCAGTTTTTTTTTCAGTAGTTAAAAATTAACTTTTTATAATATGAGAAGGGAGCTATTTAAAGACACTAGCCGTTTGTACAACCTTATTTAAAATAGTTATCATAAACAAAACATATGTAATGATTTTATTGAGCACAGCTAGTTCATTTCATAAAAATATTGAATATTTCTTGTTAGAATCTTATGATTTAAATGCATTTTTATTTAAGTCGATCAGAATAAAAAGTAGAAAAAGTGTTCTAAAGAACTGTGCTTATTACCTTTAAATCATTTAGTTAATAGGAGACAGATTTAATATGCAGATTAAATATCTTACGCTTTACTAAATGGCAGCATTCAGGCGCGTGGAAACTGAAAGTATTTGATTTGAAGCAGTGACAACATATCACTTTTAAATAGCAAAGTTTGTTGATTAAAATTGAAACATAAATATTTTACATTTTTCAGAATGGTAACAATCTGGCGTACCGAAGATAAAAATGTTTTTATTTAGTATAGTGTTATCGCTGTTAATATTTAAATTGCTTGAGTTTGTTAATCAAAAATTCATTAAATTCGTACAAAATATCAAATATGAAACTGACTCGGAATTCAAAATCGATGTGCACATGTTTGGATGAACGATTGTGTATATTAAAAATTTAGTGGCTGTAGTTGCCATCGTTTCTTCGCAATGCGAGAACATATTACATACAAACAATGGCTCTCATTTGTTTTCGGACACTTGTATTGTTGAAACTTATTTACATAGTCTTGTACTAAATATCGAAACAACATCTTTAAATTTTTTTTTCTAATATATTATTTTTACTCGATTTTAAGCCTTGCTTGTTTCAAATTAAATACCATAAAAATATTTTTATGATAAAATTATTTATTAAAAGCATGTTAATCAATAACTCACATAATTTATCGGACATTCGAAAGTTTTGAACTGTTTTCGCATGCGATGCTTCTTGTTATAATTTTTTGTTCTACTTGAAAATACAGCACAAGAATCATCATTTACATTTAGAAATTATTTCTTGTTTATCAAAGTATATTAACTGCTCCATACGTGAAGTTAACAAGGCAAGGCACTACTAATTAACGACAAGTCCCATTTATTTATTATTTTTGAAATGATGAAATTTAATTTTTATAGTTTTAAAAATGGCATAACCTGATGGAATATCGAGTTATTTTATTTCTTTTTGACAAAAAGTGCAAATGAAGTGATGATTGTGTAGCGTCACTAAGGTTTTTGATGCTGAAGCCATAAATAGTATGCAACATCCTCATCAGGACTCGAACTCCAGAACGCATTAAACTGGTATATTATACAACTGAAAAGTAAATGATTTTCTCGATGTTCATAATTCCTTGACATTCAAATATAAAAGAGTTAGGCAAATTTTTGTAATTAAGTTAGAGGTTTAAATTTTTTTCATATGTTTATTATTGTGCTTTTGACAAAAGTGAGCATGAAATTGGAACTAATAGTTATAGTGACTCTAATTTGTTTTTGGACACGTGTGTTTTTCAGTTATGTTTGAAAATATCAGTTACTAAATTTTATCAAAATGACTTTATTTTTCTTTCGCTATTGATCATCATTTTTTAAAGTTTTCTTGATAAAAATAAATTATTTAAAAGGGTTTTGGCAAAAAAAAAAAAAATAGTAATAATAACTAAAAATTAAAGGATTTAAATTTTAATGTTCGCCCATTGGGGCTTAAAATTTAATGTGGTTTATCAGGAGAGATTATCAATAGAGGAGGGCTCAGGTGGAACAGCGAAACATTTTATAGAATTTAGACGAATATGTATTTATATGTATTTAGACTAACATGGGAACGATATATATCTTCTGTATATTTAAAAGTGTAAAAGTGATGTAATTCTATCAAAATAGTTAACAATTAGATATATCTTGAATTAAATGTGTTTAAATCAATATGATTAAAAAGTAA